AGCAAATATTTGTGTGCCTTGTCGAGGGTGAGAGGGGTGGATATGATGCAGAACAACTTGCAGATAAAAAATATTGCCAAGACTGACAAAGGCTTTTCCTTCCAACCCTTGGTCTGTGTTATTTCTCTACCACATTTATGAAATAATTGATTCTAAGCACCTCCAGTTCTTTCTCAGTTTTTAGTGTGTGCTGCTCTGATGCAACTATCCATGATGCTGGCCAGGAATATCCAGATTTATTGCTCCTGGTGAAAGGTATTTTTTGGCTGTACATCTGTACTTAGTTGAGAACTGCTCCTCTTTTTGAATCTGAGCCCAGGTGACTCAGATCCAGCTGTTCCCTTTTCTGATGCAAAGATGGAGAACAGAATATTTTGGTCATTCGAAGCAGGCTTTCATATTGTGCATTCCTGGGATGCTTTTCTTGGTTGTGGGAACAAACACCACAACAGAACCATTCATCCCAGTATGCAAAGATTTCGGGAAGAATCTAGCAGAGATCTAGAAAATCCTCCTCATCTGTGTTATCTTAGAAAAGGGAGAAAACCAAAACAAGCAGAGCCAGTGGCCCCAGAGCACCCACAGGAGCAGATGGGGTTTCCTTGACAGCGTGTCTGGAGAAAGTCACACTTCCTTGAAGTTCCATGGGAAGGCAAAGCTTTCAGCTTGTGCAGGTGATAATGGGGAGTGGGGAAGAGAAATGCCTCGTGCGTTTCTTACACCACAGATTTGCCTGCATTCACCTCTGCTACTGGAAACAGGGTGGTTTCTTTTTCAGAAGGGCTGGAAACAGGTTTGTTTTTTTTTTTTTTTTTTTCAGAAGGGCTCTGCTAATAGAGCCTTTTGGGAAGCTGAGGGCTCGGTACAGGAGCTCAGGGCACGTTGTTATCTCTAATGGAGCAGGACAGTGCCCTGTGGAGATACTGGCCTGTGTCCCAGGCCAGGGATATTTCTGCTGCACAGAAGTTGCATCACTCGGTCGGGAGCTAATGTGGGACTTGGATGGCTCGGGCAGTGTTGCTCTGGGTGGTGAAGATGACCTGATGGTGTCATTTGGAAGAGCTCCGTGCTCAGCGTTCAGAGCTTCCTAAAAACCTGCTCAAGTGTTTTTATGTTGAAGTGGGGGAGAAGCTAGTGGCAGAGGAGGAGTATCTGTCCCTAGCAGCAGGCACAGATTTCTTAAAAATGAGTGTCTGGGATGTTTTGAACCTGTGTCTTACTGACAAATTGCACTTACAGTAAAATTATTGAAGTGCATCCTCATTTCGCTGTGTGATGATGAGTGTGCAGGTGTGTGCTAAGTCAGCCATCCCTGATCCCTCGCTCTGGTCAGTCTGCAGCTCATGGAGGTGACAATGACATTTTAGGAGGGTGAGTTTGCCCCTGCCAGACCTCTCTGTGAGCTGACATGTGCTGGGCACAGCTGGGCAGGGGATCTGCTGTGATGCTTGGTGGTGCTTACGGAGTTTTTGAATCTGTTGTGTGTGGCCATGAACTGGTTGTGGTGGTTGTTTTTCAGGTCAAAAGCAGCTGTCTGTTCTGAGGGGAGCGTAATTAGCAGCCTATGGAGTTCATTTGTTCATTGCTGTGTTGAAAGCAAATCTGTTTAAGGTTTCTGGCAGAAATCTTCGTGCAGTGGGAATGCACTTCCTCTTGTCTCTCTCCCCCCTGCATAAAAATATCCAGTCATCCTGAGAAGAAGCAGAATATTACAATATCCTGTGACTGGTGTGGGCAGCTGATCTTCAGGGATAATGAGTAGTGGAGGGAGAATGAAATGAAGTTTCCTTTCCCATCATAGATCAGCAGCAAAAGAGAGGAACACACAAAATTCAGTGCTCCCTAAAGTTTGTGGTTCTGGCTGCAAAGGTAACAATTCACAGACTCCCTCCAATAGAGGCCTGAAAAGCTGTAAAATCTTTTTATTTTGACACTGTTTTATCTTTCCCCTGTGTCTTTTTACCCTCCCATCCTCATTCCTGGATGTGGATTCAACCAGCCATCTGCAAGCACCAGCATCCCCAGGTTACTTAATCCCCAGTGCAGCATCAAATTTTGTAACCAAAAGGTAGGACCAGCTGATGAGATGAGTAAATCCAGGAGTAAGGGCATGTTTGTGAAGAGGGCAAACCTTTTATGTTGAAGGTGAGGAAGATGGGGTGAGATCTCTTGGTAGAGCACGACCCCTGACAGTAGAATTGCTTCAAGTCAAGTTGCTCTGTAAAATCAAAGCCAGCCCTGGGCAAAATGTGTTGTATGAGAGGGAGTGGGTGGGAGATGTCATATCTGATGCCTTGACAGATAGGAGGCACCCAGCTGATTAATGTTTCTCACCTCCAGATTCGGTTCCTTGTCTCCCTATTTTATGCTAAGCAGAGCTGGAAGCTGCAGCCTCCTGTCCAGCTCTGACAGCATTTGCTCCTCGCTGGCTCTGTCACAGGAAGGCTGTTTTCTCTCTTCCTTGACAAGAACTGCTTGCTCCTGTCGGTTATTGCTGCTGCTGGTGATGTGATCTGAGCATCCCTCTTACCATAACCAGCCTGACTTCTGTGTAAGCTAAATGTCTGCAGGTGTCTGAGACAGGCCAAGTGTTGAACACCTTTTGGGGGTACATGGGGAAGAGACAGGGCTTGATCCTGTGGGTTTTCATTCAGGCTCTCTCTCTGCTGATCCCTCCTTTCTTTGTCTCTCTGACTCGGTGTAGGATGACTGACTTACTGCTGAAACACTTGGGTATCTCAGATATTTGTGAGCCCTCAGGAATACAGTTCTGGCATTCTCCTTCGTGGTTTTCCCTCCTCTGTGTCTGCCTGCAGCTTTCCCTGGAGCCCTGCCAGCCCTGGGCTCGCTCTGACCCAGCCTGTGTTGAAATCCTTACTCATGCCTTAATCACTTCCTGTCCTGCCACTGCAATCCCCCCCTCCCAGCATCTGTAAATCTTTGCTAGGTTGATTCTCAGGGGTGCTGCCTCCTTGCTTGGCCTGGGAAGCAGGTGTGGGTATCCCCAGTTTCTGGCTGGTCCTTGGTTTGCTCTCCTTGCAATTCCCTTTGCTGTTAGGTCTGCGCTGTCCCTGGCTTGCTCTGCTGCCACCTTCTTCCCTCCCCATCCCAGCCTGCTGTCTCCCAGCCTCAGCTTCCTTTTGGCTGATAGACTCAATTTTTTTGATTGTTTTTCTTTATCCATTAGGAATGTTTTTGCCTTTTTTTTTTTTTTTTTTAAGCAACTTAGTCACTTCCTCTATTTTTCTTTTCTCATAAAACTTTGCTTGAGAAGTTGTGTGCTTGCTGATGCAACATCCTTGCAAGCAGTTTGGAAGGTTTTATTCCAATTGCCTACTGGGAAGGGAATGACATAAGGAAGGGTTGTGACTTCACTGGTGAGTAGTTGGTAGTCATGCTTAAGTTTCAGAAAGTTTTTGGGTTTTTTTTTCAGTCTTATTGTAAATGTATGGGGTCATGTATTCTCTTTCTGTGACAAGGTTTTGGGTTAGTCCTGAAGGGAAGGAGCTGAAAGCCCCATTTTTGGACACTGGCCTCATCCTTTCTCCCCCTGCCAGTTTGGAGAGTCTGCCCTGAAGATGAAGGTGAAACTGGGGACTGTTCACCAAAGGTTTGGTGCTGAGGGTTGGTGGTACCTTTAGTCAGGGCTCTGAGGCTTTGCTGATGCCTGAATTGAGGCTTTGGAACTTAAAACCAGTCAGCAGTTTCCATCACTCAACTGCCATACTGAAGCTAAATTCTTGTTTGATGGTTCTAGGAGGTTTCAGCTTTGGCCCAGGACTCACCAGGACTCTGAGACTGACAAAAAGAATGTAAGACGAGGATGAGAGATGAGGGAAATGACCACCCTTGCTTTACAGGATAAGAAATAAAAGACGCTGCCTCTCCTGGGGCTGTGAGGAGGGAGCTGGGCACTGTTTTCGGGGAGCCTGTTCCATGTTCTCCCACTCATTCTCCATCTGATTTCTTTGTGCTCTTCTCTCCCAGGTGTGTGACGATGGAAGAAGAGGTCCACCAGCGAGCAGCCTGAACAGGGACACCAGGACAGCTCTCTGAGACACTGAGACACAGGAGACAGCAAACATGCTGAAGCCAAGTGGACTTAAAATCCCTGGCAGGGCTGGGAAGCATTCCAGCCCCGTGGGACGGACATCAGGGAGCACCACAGCTGCAGTCACCACTGGCTCCAAGGAAGGTAAGGGCTCCATCTGCCAGGGGCACCAGCTGGCCCAGGTGATTGCCTGGCTTAAAGGCCTCGTGGTGCCAGTGTGACATTCTTAATCTGTACGCAGATTGATGCATCAAAACAAGTCTAATAGGGTGAGTTGATGTTCTCTCTCACAAGTAACGCACAAAACAGGCAGGTTGTGGAGTGGGTGGGAAGACAGATGGATGCTCTGGTGTTTAGGGCTGACAGAGGTGCTGCCTGCCCTCTTGCTTGTGTGCATGTGTGTACCTGTACAGACACTGACACTGAAGAGCTGGGAATTTGGCAGATGGGAACCTCACCCATGACCTTAAACACTGTCCTGTAACCATTGCTCCTGGCCTGTGATGAGGTAGGAGCGAGAACCAGGCACTTAAGGTGATTAGCCCTGTGCTGATTACCTCAAATTAGTGCCTTTGTTTAAACAGAATCATTCGAGGCCCTGGGATTTGAATAGTGATTTACCTCCACATACACACAGGCCCTTGCTGTCATTCAGTGCATACATAAGCTACACAGACTGCCATTAGCAGTATAATTAACACTTCAATAACAGTTGAGGTGTGTTTTGCTTAGGACTCATTTTTCTGGCTTATTGGCTGCTTGGGTTGTTTTTTGGTTTTTTTTATTACATGTAATGTAGTAAATATTCAAGATGTAAATTTTGTAGTTGTGCTTTTTGTTTCACTTTGTTAAAAAAAGCCTTCCCCTTCCTTCAGGGGAGGCACATCAGGATGATGTTCATCCTATCAATGCTTGTACTTTCAGCATATTAACTTTCATTTGGGAATGTCACTGGTTGCTTCTTGAAATCTGTTAACCTCTTGTCCCACTATAATTCAGGCCACTGCCCACGTGCCTGGTTAGTTTGCTATATGTTTCAGTCCAAAAAGTAGATAGCATTTAGCAGAATCAGGAAAGCCTTGTACCTGTCAGACAGCATTTTTAATAAAGGAGAAAGATAATAGTGATCAGAACTGCCTTTAGGATACTCTGACAAATTAGTCAGTAATAATGACAAAATGAGGGTCACCAGACAATGCTGTCTCTTGTCAGAGTAATTAGTTTAGTTAAGTGTTAGTTTATTTAAACAGAAAACCCCAAACAAACAAACAAATAAAAACAACAACAACAAAACCCCAAAACCGTCTCTGAGGTTTCTATTTTGCTTGGGCACAGTGGGATGGTGGTTTAGGCACAACCTCTGCCCAGGATATTCACACAGACCCCACTTGCTGCTGAGCAAACGGCTCTGCTCTGTCATTACCCATCAGGGGCTCTGCTTTGCTCGTGGGTTCCATCAGCTGAGCTTTCTCTCAGTGACCAGCAGTGTACATATCATCTTTCCCACTGTGTAAATTCTTTCCCTAAACAGTACTGTAAAACCCGCAGCTCCGTCTTGGTTTTTTGCACATCTGCAATGTCTTGTTTGAGGGGCCAGTCACTGCATGAGGCCAAGGGCTGAATTCCAGGTCCTTTGGTGTGGTACAGCATTGTGGGGTGTGGAGTGACACTGCTGTTCCTCAGCTGAGGACTTGGCCCTAGGTGTGGAGATAAAATTTTTTTAATTGCACTTTGCTGTATTTAAATGGGGTTTAATACCAGAGCCTAATTTCTTAATTCTATATCCAAATCAAAGATACTGAAGTGGACATCTTTGCTAGAGGGAAGTGCAGATTGACAAAGGAAAAGTTTTACAGGTTTGGCTGTGTATTTTAGTTATTGCTCAGACCCCGAATTTCTGAATTTTCCCCTTGTTTCTCCTAGCTGTGACTGAGAAATGAACTTGAACTCCAGTGAAGTTCAAGTTTACTGAACTTCTTTTTATCTGCCCGTTGTGAGTCTCTCCAGGCGCTTTGTGCCGGATTTATAGTTGCAGTGTGGTGAGGAGCTGCTTTTAGTTGCTTTATCACTTAAAAAATGGGGGGAAAGAACCTGAGGCCTGTCTTCCCCTTGGAGGCTCTGCAGAGGTGTCTCAGCAGACACAGTTGGGGTGTGTGTTGTGGTATGAAAGAGTCAGTCAGCAGCGGGGTCGAGCAGCGCTTGGGCTGAATGCGGCGCCTGTTCACTGGCGCTCCTTTGTGCCTTGTTCAGCTCCAGCCATCTGTCACCCAGGGATGTGCAGCAAAGCCAGCCCCACGTGGGCAGAGGCTGCACCAAACTGAGTCTGACCTTTGCCTGAGAAGTTCTAAGCGAGCTTTATTCCTGGAAAAAAAGCGGGCGTGGAGAAGGGGAGAAGTCTGGTGAGGGTGGGTTGGTGCTGTGTAACAGCTCTGCTGCCGCTCCTCTGCCTCTCAGGATGGTGCAGGAGGGTTTTGGGAGTTGTGGAGCTGCTGGAGCAGTCAGCACTGAGCCATTCCTCCCTGGAAGGTGAGAACAGAGCACAGTGGGGCTGTTTACCCAGCCTAGGCTGGGTGAATAGCTGTGATTGGGCTTGGAGCGTCAGCTCTGACATCTTCTTGCTCTTTGTCCTGCGCAAGAGGTATTGCTGTGTCTGCCTGGCCTGTACCTGCTCTTCCTCCTGCAAATCTCTCCAAAGGCCTGGCCAGCCCTGTGCTGCCTCCTTCTCTCCTTTCCAACGATAATCTGAAGCGGTGAGCATCCCAAAATTTGCATTCCAAAATCCCATTGACTGTGCCCCTCTCTGAGAGCAGCAGCATCTGTGCTGGCTGTGGGTCCTGGCTGCAGCACGGTCATGGGATTCAGCCATTGGCAGGGGAAAGAACTCCAAGAGAAAATGCTGTTTTTCTGTCAAAGTGGTTTAATTCTGCTCCAGAGCCAAGTATCCACATCACTGAAACCACAGCAGGCACTGACGTCAGGTTTGGGGATGCCTGCAGCCAAAGGATCTGGTGATAGATGGCCATGGAGACTGGATTTCATTACCTTTCCTGGGGTTAATCACCACAGGAGGGTGATGGAGCTCTGCCCCATCCTCCCTCCTCTGCCTTGCTAACCTGCATCCCCCAGCCTCTGCCCCCTGAGTGCATCAGCGCTGTCAATCCACAGCACTGCTGATAGCTCAGCTGCACCAAGAGCAGGTCCCTCTGTGCCAGCTGAGGGCTGTCGGGTCCTGCACTGTGCACCAAATGCTGTCCCCGGTGTCAGGGCACTGGAGCCTCCCTGATGGCAGAGGGACAACTACAGAGATGGAGAGGCTGAACACAATTTACTTTTTGTGTGTTTAATGTGAATACTGCAAAGGGCTTTTTCTTCCCTCTTCTGTCACTGTCCAGGAGAGTGCCTTCATGTGATGTATTGGGTGCCTGCTGGGATGGGAAGATCCCCTAAAGGTACTAGATTTTGTATGAGGTTTTCAAAGTTGCATGAAGGAGCCTGTGTGCTTGAGAAGCCCTGCAGAAACCATGAGCTCTGTGTTGTCTTTGAGTGTTTGCATGAGCTCTGTGACCTGTGTCTGTGCACCAGGAGTGCTTCCTGGGAGGCTGACGGGGTTTTCCTGACTCCACAAAACAAACAGTACACCCACATCCCCTTAAGCTTCTGTGTTGCCTCTGCACTTATCTGCCTCTTGCCAGAGAAGCCAAAAGAGACTTTTCTTAGGCATTTGGTGAAGCACCTGAGCCCTGCAGCTTGATGGAAGAAAACCAGTGTGGTTTGGGTTACAAAATACAGAGCTGCAACAGTGATCTTTGTGAATTTCCCACTTCGGGGGAGGATAGAAATCTCAAAAGCTCAAAGTGTAGTTCCAAAAGAAAACCATAAATCGAACAAAGTGCAGAATTAAACTACAGCAATGTACAGTCTGTTGCCTCTGAGCTCTCCCTCGTCTCTGGGAGCCCAGGGCTTGCTCAGGAAGACCCCAGATCGAGGTTATATCCTCCAGACTGAGAGTTGAGAGAAGGTGTTTGTTCTCCAGTTTTACCTGAGACTTGTCAGAGCCATCAGATGAAAATGGATTTTGAAAAGCTTCACACTTTCCTCCTCCTCCCTTCCCATAAGCTGATCAATCCTGTCTGCAAAAGGGCAAGTAGAGGTACTTTCCTTTATTCTTACTCTGGAGTACACAAAGCCGCTGGATTTGTTCTTTCTCTTTTCCCCAGCGCTCTGTTCATATTCTTTTGTAGAAGGTCAAGTGTCTCTTACCCATCTCTCATCCCTCCTCCTTTCCCAGACGTGGAGATGTACCCCCTTAAACATTTCCACGTACTTTTGACAATTCACATCTCGTGTACCAGAAAAAGGGTTGGTGCAGGTGTGAAATGTGTGATGCACGTCTGTAGAATTTCACGATTCGTGGCTGTAGGTTTCTGTGCAGACCAAATATGCTGTAATCACACTGAGCCAGCTTCTCACTCATGGTATATCAGAGTTTTATTTCCTAAAAACATGTTCAGAGCCCCTTCAGCTCATGGAATGTCCTCTGGACTTTATATTAGAGTGGAGAGTTGTTGTGTCTCCTACCTGAGCTGGTGCTTTCACAGACCCAGGAGGAATAGGGGCTTCTGTGGTGCTATTCTTTGTTTGGTGTGTTGGCTTGTGGTGTGTGGAGGGTTTTTTTTCCATGAAGGAGTGCTGAGATGTCAGTGGGGAACTGGCACCTGATGTGGACTCCTGGAGCACCTTGAGTGGTGTCCATGCTGGCTGTCCCCCTCCCTTCTCTTCCACAAAGCTGGAACGATGGAAAACTGAGTTCTGCTGCTTTGTGGTAACAATTTTCCTTAACCAGACAGAAAATTCATCTCTGGCTGCCTCAGGAGAGGGTTTCCCACAAATGTGCTGGCTTATTTCCCGTGCCTCAAATGGACAAAGTCACCGCTCTGGGCCCCGTGTGCAAGAGAGGTTTCTGTGCTAAGGGTGTGAGGTCACTGGTGAAGGGCTCAATATAACATTTGGATTTCTTGTTGCTACAAAGCTCATATGTCTTGGTTTCTTTCCCACCCCCATCCTGGAAAAGCTTGCTTTTGCCTGGAGTTGCAAGATGGAGAGAGAATGGAAGCTGTGATGAATGAGCCCACACAGCCCTCCCAGCTGGTGGAACAGGTGAAAGCTGCTGGGAAGGGAAGCGTTCACATTTCAGAGCGGGTTTTATCTGCTCAGAGCAGCATTAGAGTAACGTGGTTGGAGGAGAAATTTGCCTTTCATACTTCATTTGGCTGTCAGCTGGCTCTGGGGTTCATTTATGGTTCTTAAATCTCTTGCTCAATTTGAGAGTTCTGGCCAAAGAGAGAGGAAAATAGGAATATTTGTGTTTGCAGATGGAGCTGGGCAACACGGAGACTTCGGTGCTGGAGGCAAAAAAAGTCCAAACTTATTAAATTTTCTGTGAGACTTAAATGCATCCAGTCAGAATCCACCTTAGATCTTGGATTTTACAGATGGATCCTGTCTTTCTGAATGGGCAAGTGCAAGTATCTGTGATGTGAATTTCGTATTTAGCCATGACTAAGATATCAAAACTGTTTTTTAGCAGCTGCCTAGTTTTATTGCCAAAAACTGTGCATTGCTAGCTAAACTATACAGCGTTGCTGGGAGCCTGGGAATGCCTTCTTACTTTCACATAAGTAAAAATACATTTTTTTTGATAAAGAATAAATGCACAGAACTAGGAATGTTTGCTGGCATAACGTCTGCCTCTGCAAACACTGTGTTGCTTTTGTGCACTAAAAATGGGAGTGAAGCAGAGTGGAACACTCCCAGGGCCATTAAAGAGCACGGGATGACTGGCTCCATAGGGTAATTAAGCTAAATATGCTGTAATGAGGGTTTGATAAGCCTGAGCTGTGCTGGGTCATAGCTGTGGGTTGGTTTTTGGGTGCTGGAGGGCTGAGACCGGCCCGGCCCGGGGGGGCAGTTCCTGCTGTGCCCAAGGGCAGAGTTTGCACAAAGGGTTTAACTTTGTTTTCTGATTGGTTTTCTAGAAATGTGATTATTTGCCAAGGGCTGATTCTAGTTGGAGACCCAGCAGTTCTGTGTGGCCAAGTGTCTTTGCACGTGTCCAGGCCCTGTCATTAATGAGCTGTACCTGCCTCAGTTCTGCTGGGGGAGCCTAAATCTCACCAGCACCTTGGCTCTCCTGTAGGACCAGTGCCTTGCTCTTGCCTTTCCCAGTGGGAAATCTCCATTCTGTTTCATTTGCCTGTCACAGCTTTACTATCGACATCTTGGTAAATTCACTTGGAAATCAGTTGTTCGCCCCTCGAGTTTGTCAGTATGTCGATGATGTAAATTGAATGGATGCACAGCAGAAAGAAGCAGTTTCTGTTGCTTCGAGAATTATTTTGCAGTAAAACAGAGGGAGGGAAAGTGTCCTTGATAAGGAATTTGTGCCTCAGTAATAAGAGAGCGCTTGGGGAGGTTATTCTCAGGTAATTATTGATGGTTTGGTGGTGTCTTAACACAGGCTTTTTTTTTATAGAGGTGCAAGACAGTGCTGAGGCTGTCTGGTTTTGTATCAATCTATTAATTCTAATTCCCAAATAAATATGAAAGGCACTAAACCACTGTTTTCTTTGAAACAAAGGAAATAGGATTGTGGTGTCCAGAGCTGCTGATTGACTGGCACAGACATAGGGAGCTAATTCTTAGCTATTCAAAGGCTTTGTGTCTCTTGATTAATATTAACTTGGGGTGTTGTGTGCTGGTGAATTGAGAGAGAAGACCCCACGTCGTGGGACCAGAGGCTGCTGTTATTTCTGGCAAACACTTGGTTTTGCTGTTTTGCATCAGGCCTCGTGGAGCAATCGGTGTTGTCAGCTCCCATCTGAGCTCTGTCCTCAATTAAATCCATGCTCAGGCCTGAATGGATATTCCTGGAGCCAGATTAGTGATCCTGCTGGAAGTGCGTCATCGGTGTCAGGGAAGTTTGATTAGGTCTTGCTTTATGTTAATGGGTCTGTGTACACAGCACCCTCAGTTCCCTGAGGAATGGGGGGGCTGAGGTGCCAACGAGAATGTTTGAAGATCAAATGCCTCTATTACAGTATCAGCAGATTATCTCTCCTTTAGTAGCAGGAGCTCCAGTATCCAGGTACACACAGGCAGTCAATGTTCAGGGAGTTATCAGGTATCTGAAAGAAAACAAGAGTGTTTTCAAGGGCTGACCAGGAAAAACTGCAAACAAGGGTTGCTGGTTTGCTAATCCAGGCCTGATGCACAGCTGGAACGGAGAGGTGAGGCTGGGAGGGGATCCTGGAGGCTGGGGGTCAGTGCAGCTGAGGGGTGGGAACTGTGACAACCACCAGAACAGCTCTGCTGAGGGGTCTTGGGAACCTGAGCATGTCCACCCGTCGTTGCTGTGGGGTGACTGAAGTGCCCTGTGTGTAGGTCATGTCCCTCCATACGAATCCACTTGCTGGTGGACACTGATGCTCTTGTGAGGCCTGTGTTTGCCTCTAATCCCCACTGCGTGTCCTACACCAAACGTTTTCTGGCATCCTTGTGGGCAAAACGCTTGACCCTTTGCACAGAGTTTGTATTCAGCTCACACATCCCTTTTCATGAGCCCCTCCGTTTGCCATCCTGCAGTCGAAGTTTTGTACCAGGTTTTTTGAAGGTGGTGGTTCCCCCTCCTGAAGGAAGGGAGGGAGGACCTTTGGCAGCATCCCCTTCCCAAGAAGTGATTCGATGCATTCCAAGCAGTATAAAAGGGTATTGAATCAATCTTGATCTAATCAGCTTTACAGGTGACATCCAGAGACAACTGTGAGTCTGATTTTAATTGCCTTAATCATTAGATGCTCTTAGAAGGATTTGATACAGCTAATCCTTAACGTTCTGCACGCTCATTGTGGAGCAAGGCACGAGCACACACTGAAGGCATATGGAGGTCAGACACCCTCCTGGTCCCTCTGTCTGTGGCTCCTCACAGAACAGCAGGGAAAGAAAATCTGCTTCCCACAGATGTTCAGCTTACGGGGGTTGGAATATGATGAACTGAATCCTCTTCAGCTGGGCTGGTGCAAGTGCAGCACCGTCAGGGTGCTTGTGGTTACGCCCCTCGGAGCGAGGATGCAGCTCCCGGGCGGGATCTGCTCCTGCGTGTTCTGCCATCAACTGAACTAATCCTGAGCAGATTAATCATTGGAAGCCTGAGCCAACATTCATTGAAATAAAGGGGAAGATTTCCTTTGGCATAGGTGGATTTGGGATGAGAGTCCGTAGGATTACGGTGGTCAGACTATTGCTACGCAGTAGGTTGGAATTAACCAGCACACACTGACCCTGCATGTGAACGTCCTCCTTGCAAGCCATCAAATAGATGAATTGGTCTCCAGAGAAGCCTTAAAATGTTTAGACTATGGATGTTTTTCTCTATTTATTTTGGATTCGGTAG